TCTGGGTCTGACCGACGCCTTGCGCGCCTGCCATGATGAAGCGGACTTACACCTTCTGGGACTAGTCAGTCGGGGGCCTTTCAGCGCGATTCGGCATTCGCATCGATCACGCCCTGCTCACCCCCAAGGCCACCGACCGCCTGCAGGGCGTGGCGATCCATCGCGAGACCCGCGCCTGGAGCAAGCCCTCCGACCATGCGCCCCTGATGGTGACGCTGCGCCTTTAAGCGCGGACGACATAATGGCCCGGGCCCTGCCCGCCTTGCTAACAACGGCCGCAGCGCCAGCGGCGCACATGATGGGCGGGACCAAAGCCTCGCTCGCGGCCGCAATTGGCGCAGACCGCTGATCACACCCCGTGGGCGGACGTCAGGTTTGGGGGCGCATGGCAAGGGCCGATGAACATTGCCGATGCACATGGGCGGCCGGGTTCGGGGCAAGCCCGAGCGCGCCTGAGCCTGGCAAGTCGCGGATGCGCCAGAAATCTGGCGACCTTGGGATGCGGCGGCTGTTCAGTTAGGGGCGCGATTGGCGAGAAATGCCTGGGCGTTGGCGCGATCAGCCTCGGACAGCAGCGCGTTGGCCTGCTCGTACAACTCGAAAATCCAGGCGTCCTTCTGGGGATCAGCCGCATTCCGCGCCATGGTGAGCCACATGAAACCGCGCGACGGGTGCCTGGTGATGTTGCCCTGCCCCGTCAGCAGCAGATGCCCCAGCAACGCCTGGGAGGGGATGTGGTTTTTCTCAGCGGCGAGATGCAGCCAGCGCGCCGCGAGACGGGCATCCTTGGCGCCGCCGTCGCCGGACAGGCACAGGCGCGCAAGATTGTACTGGGCGTCCGGATCGCCGTAGAAGCTCGCCGCATGGTGGAACATGGCGCGAGCACGCTGCTGGTCCTTGACCACATAGCTGCCGGGGATGCCATCCAGGTAGTAACCGCCAAGCGCCACATAGGCATTCGAAATGAACCGCGCCGCGCGGCTGCTGCTGTCGTCAGCGTTGTCGATGACCCGCGAGAAATATTCGAAGGCCTTCAGATCATCATGCGGGACGCCGTCGCCCTCCGCATACATGCGGCCCAACTTCCACTGCGCCGGCGAATGGCCACGCGTCGCAGCATATTCGAGCGCCTGAACAGCGCTGGTCATGGAGCCGGAGTTATATTCGCGGATACCGATGCGGAAGGCGTCACGCTCAGAGCGAAAGCGCACCGTGGGTACCCGGCCGTGCGCTGGCGCTGGCACTGCGCCGGGCTGTGGAGCGGAGCCGGGTCCCGCGAACAACTTGTCGGCGCTGAGAGACTGCACCCTGCCCGCTGACGGCGGCGCAACGCCCTCCGGCGCTGCGTCTGCGGCTGCGATCTCACCCTGCCCTAGCGCGCCATCCGAGTTGGTCGCCGCCGCGATGCCGGGGATGGGGGCCTGCAGGTCGGCGGCGATGGCCGAACTCGCCAGGACGAGAGCAAAGCCTACACCGACAATGTTACTGACCGCTGCGCCCATATCCCACTTCCTGCGCGGCATGCGCTGCGCCGCAAGATGATTACCCATATCGCGCGACCCTCGGGCCATGGCGGACATTCTGTTAAACTGGCCTGGGCCCAACCACCCGGAAAACCCCGCCCGTCGCGCCGCGCAACGCGCTACCCGACTACAGCGCCCCCTACTTGGAGGGCCCCGTCACACCCCCGCAGCCCCACCAGAGAGCGGACAATACACAGGGCGCAAGACTTGCCAACTGGACCAATTTGCCCGCAGCTACAGTCAACTACGCCCGAAGACGCCCGCTCAGATGAAATATGCGTGAACTAACATCGTCTTGTTGATGGTTAGAACCTGACTCGACTTTATGGCGGCTTGGCGGCGCAGGCAGGGCGGGCACCGGACAGGCACAAGTTCCTGACGCGCGTTGTAAAATAATCACAACAGCGTGATCGGGCGGGTGGAGAACTGACGGGTGTGGTCACCGGCGCCGCGTCCATGCCGCGCCCTGACCGGCCGGGCTTGGCAGAGCCGCTGCGGACCCGTCATAGCCGGTGCTGTCCATCGTCTGGCGGGTCGCGCCGATGCTCATGCGTTAGCAACCTGCAAACTGGCGCAGGTACGGCGCGGGCTCGAGCAGATCCGGATGTGTCACGCTCATGACGTTGCCGTCAACCGGGCCACGCCGTCGCCAGGGCGCTCGTGGGCTGAGGCAACGGCCTGGCGGCGCCGGTGACCACGCCACGACCTGTTGAGCGCCGCGCAGCAGGCCAAGGTCGGTCGTGGGCGGAGTCCAGCCTTACAGATCGCGCCTGCGCCCGCAGCCCGGCTGCCGGGCGTCAAGCCGTCTGATGGCGGTGGTGGTCCGGGCGGCGGCACCACCCTCGCCGGGGGCGCGGGCCATTGCGACTGTCCGTGCTGCGCCACAGTCGATGGCGCACAGGCGCCCCAGCTTATGGAGCGCTGTGGAGCCGCGAAAGCTCACGGTCGCCACTGCGGCCCGCCTCGCCGGCGCAAGCGAGCGGACGACATAAGACTGCAGCGCAGCCG